CCCCCCCACGTTCTTTCGAAAGTTTTTTCATTCGATAATTTTTTTTTCTGTACCTAGATCCTACTCCATGATCGATTTCATTCAATACAAAAAGTGTCATTTACGAAAATTACAAGGGTAGATGGCTCTCTGGGCTGGCGGGCTCTTGAAAAGTAATGCTACATTTGCATATAGAGTAAAGTGCGTGGCATCGTGAAGGTTGATATTTCAAGCCAGGGCAGCTCGCATGCCAATCGATCGCCGTGGCGCGCGAGCGACTGCTGCACCGCGCACTGTCCCGGGTGTACAATATGCTTGATGCGGCTCCTTTTTCAACTTTACTCTACCTTTTTTTTTATTTTATTTCGACAAGCCATAATCGAGCGCTTTCGAATGAAACGATCGAGACTCCGTCTCGCTCTGTCTCTCGATATGTACGCGGGCCACGTATACGAGAAAACGAGCCTCGTTAAAGGAGAGAAAGAGAGAAACGGGACTGGGAGGATTTGAAAAGCGAATGTATATCGACAACTATACCTGCTACACTCACCTTTGATAAAATCCACGGCCATCTCGAGGCCGTACGTGTCTTTGTCGCAATCGTCGAGCACGTGAGCGCCGATCTTCACGCCGGGCACAAAATCCTCGGCGTTGAGCCGATCGAGGGTGTAGAGCATGGCCTCGAGCGCTTGGATTCCGCCTTGGGGCATTATCGGGCCGCAGGTGACGCTGTCCTCGCGCTCGTGCACCATCATGAGACCACCGAGAATGAGCTCGCCTCCATCAATTACCGCCTCGAGCTTAGTCGGCCAAACTATGCCGCTACTACTGCTGCTGCTGCTGCTACCACCACCACCGCCGCTACTACTTCTCGTCGCGAGTTTGTTGTACTGCTGCTGCTGCTGCTGCTGCTGCTGCTGCTGCTGCTGGAGCTTTTGACTCTCGGCTGCAGCCGCTAATGCTTGAAACTGCACCCAGTCGCCATGGCGTATGTGATGGTGAGTTTCAGGATTCTCGAGGCGCCACTTGTGATTCGAATGCAGCTGCAGCTGCAGAGGCTCCAAGTAATAGCGGCTCGAGCGCGCCGACGTCGATGACTTTCGAGCCTTGCCGCTGCCACTGCCACCGCCGACGACTTGGCTGCTGCGGCTGATGCTCATTACGAGGGCCGTTACGAGAATAAAACCGAACCTCATTTCCAGTGGCGGTAGTGTTATAGTCGCGCATAACCACTGCTACAACTCACGAGCGCGCAACACTTTTTTTCTTCTTCATATATACCACTTATGTTATATCCTCGCGGGAGAGTATGAGCTCGCTCGCGGCTGGAGCTTGCGAGATGTTTTTTTTAAGTATTCAAGAGACGTCTCTTTCTCTCTTTTATTTTTTTTTCTTCTCACAAAACTCCTTGATTACAGAGCAGAGGCAAGCTAGGCAGCTAGGCAGCTAGCAGCCTGCCAGGGTGCTAAAACTGCCTTGGCCTTCTTTCTTTCTTTTTTTTTTTACGCGCTTGATTACCTCATTACTGCAACTACTGCTCTCTGTAATTGCCACCAGCACTACCTTATACTGCTACCGGGGCTGCTGCAGAAGCGCGATGAGCTTTGTGTAGTTATTGTTTCGATTGCACAGCACTCACAAGCTCGCTGCTGGCGGCTTCTGCCGCTGCTGCTGCTGTTCTTTGCTCTCGTACTTGTTGAGATACCCCCATTAGCTGCTCGTGCTCCGCGCCGCACAAACGGAAGTATTGGATATTACCGCTGCTGCTGCTGCCGCGCTGTGTGCCCATGATTGCAGCTTGCTTACTTTATGACGTGTTCCATGTTGCCGCCGCCCGCGCCGTTACTGCTACTGCTGCTGTATGGATGTACACAGAGGAGCATCATCATCATCATCATCATCATCGAGCACAACGTTTGTGATATTCATAAAGAGAGAGTCGAGCTCTTTTTTGAATTGGATGCAATTCAATTAAATTTATAAATATTTGATCCGGATTTTCGAACGTTATTTTTTGCGTTTCGTTTGTTAACGTTACAAAGTATGTATACTAATTTCTGTAATCAAGCGAAAGTTTTCAATTCCCGCATATGATACAAACACATATTCGATTTTCGATGCGCGCAAGTGGTAAATACTTTAAAGTATCTATATATACGTATCATTGGCATTTTCGGCTCACGAGAGAGAAAGAGAGCTGTGCATCAAAGCGAGACCCACGCGCATATTTTTTTTTTATTACCGCCGCTGCGCAGCACCGTGAAATGTTAACGATGTTGTTTTTAAAAAAACAGCGCGCGCGCGCGGCATATAAAAACGTGAATCTCTGTGCTGCACCGTTCTGCATTTTTCTTCGTTTATGTTATGCGCGCAGTGTGGCGGTGGTGCGGCGGCGGCGGCGGATCTAACATTACAACAAAACAGGAGGAGATGGATGCGTTTGAAGCTGGAACTTTCGTATAACTGCGCGAGAGACTCTGTGTGTGTGTGTGTGTGTGTGTGTGTGTGTGTGTGTGTGTGTGTGTGTGTAATGCTGCTGCTGCTGTTGTTGCTGTTGCTTTTTCAAGTGCAGCTCGCAAGTGCAAAAATCAGCCATTTGTTTGGAGGAAGGGTAAATTTCTGAGCAAACTTATGAAATGAATGAGCGGAAAATTTTTCCCTGTAGCTGTTCGAGAGTTGTGTGTGTCTGTTAACGAATCTCGGTTGCTCTTTGTTTCGTTGTACTCAACTCCGTGCGAGAGAAGAGTAGAGAGAAGAGAAGAGAAGAGAAGGTTAAATTTTGACCCAGATCATGGGTCTGAAACTTAGAAGTAGTCTGGCATATAACGTACGTATATATATAATACAAAACGCGGAGATGAAAGCAAAAGGGCAAATGCATAACGTTTGTGTCCCCTCGCTTCGTCGTACCCTCAGTCGTCGTCGTCATCGTTGGCTTTTCTCGCGTTATTTAGCTGAAGTCAGCAGCATCGGCGAAGCGTTCGCGCGGGGGCGAGTTTTCCGTGCATATACATAATTACACGTGGCTGTGTGGGTGTACGTTGTATGCATCTATATATGTATTTGTGCGCAAGTGATATCTGTTTGACTGTGCTTGCAAGCTCTACCAGCTATAGTTTGTTATGCCCGCGCTCTTACTCATATATGACATTGATGTAGGAAAATTTATGAGAAGCGAACAAATTCCCAAGAGGCATTCCCTCGAGTAGCATATATGCTACTCATGTTACCATTACTATTTATATGTATACATATAAATGTACGTGTGTGTGTGTGTGTATATGTTATGCTGCTCTTGCGTGCGTGTCTTCTTCAGTGGTTGCAGGTGGTGGGTGTGTGTATGTGTGTTGTAAGATACATGAGGGTGTGCAAGTTCAAATCGCGCACGTAGCGAGACTCGTGTATTTCAACGTACTGACACCTTTGCTACAGAGAGAGAAAATAAGAAATGAAAATCTTCACGACACGGTGCTGCAGTACGAAAGCAAAAAAAAAAAAAAAGAAACGAAGGGGCCTCGAAGAAAGGCTGTGTGAAACGTGTTTCGAAGAAAAACCATTAACTTCTGACTACTGCAACGAGTGGTAGCTGGTGTGTGTGTGTGTGCGCGCAGCAAAAAAAAAAAGAAATTAGAAAAGAATATGGAAAATAAGTTGCGAGCGTGTTGTTTTTTTTTCTTTCGATTTCATTGATTTTTATTAGTAAGAATTCAATAAACTCTGGCTTCGCGCGAGTTCACTTTTTATATTTAAATTTTTTTTTAATTTCCAAAGAAATGGTGAACATGACAGGATTCCACAATGTATAGAATTTACGTTTACTCGCGCGAAACAAAGTGTATTCGATAATATGATAATTAATAATAATTATTCATCGTACGATTTTTGACTATAATGTCATTGTTTTGACTCATCTTTTAAAGAGAGGATGGTTTGTCCCCGCCGTTAATATATGGCATGCTGCAGTTATTATGTACACGCGTGCCGCGCTATTTGAATTAATTATGGATAATGGAGAAACGTCTATTTTTATCGCCATACGTTTCACGTACGGTGCGCGCTGCAACCGAGCTTTGAATAATTGGAAATCTGGGTCACGATATTGATGCGCATAAATGCGTACAACACGCAGCGATATCATTAATTCAGCGCGCCCTAAACTGCTGCTGCGAATGACATTTTCGTGTTTTTTTTTTTTTTTATTTCGAGTCGAAATACCGTACAACTGCTATTCGGCTTTTTTGAGCGATACAAGATATATATTCCATTTCACGCTTCATTTTATTTTTCGAAGCAAAAGTGCGTAGTGCAACGATGTTTATGAAAACTTCGCCAAATGTGTTTACACGCGACACGTGTGTTTTACCGAAAAATAAGCCATAAACGCGTATACACGTGTGTATGCGTACACGTAAGTGCGTACGCACGCACCGTCGACAAATACCAATAAACGCACGGTACGTGAGCGCGCGCCGCATTAAGATGCTAATTTCATAAAATAAACCTTTAGCCTTATATATATAGCTCGAGTGAATTACTAATTGCTGATTGATATTCTCTGTGCGAACAATTTCGTATAGTAGAGACGGCGTGCGCGTAGTGTGTATGTGTATCGCTGCAGTACACGCACGACGACGACGACAGCTGAGTACATGCATATATAGGAGTCGAGAACGAGCTAACGATATCTAGATCACGTATGTCGTGTGTGTGTGTGTGTGTGTGTACAGTACCTTGTAGCGGAAGATTTTCATATACATCGAGAGGAGATTAAAGCAATCAAATAATGCACCGATATCGTCGCGCAAGATATATCGAAATCTGTAACTCGAGCTCGCCCGCTCAGACAGAGATACAGCGCTTTATTTTTTTTTGTAACACGTTGTAAAGAACCACTATCGATATGCTAAAAAATGAATACACACAAACAAACTACTTCTACGCCTCTTTTCTCTTATTCAGGCTTGAATGAATTTTTCATTTGATATATAGGTAACATAAAGTTCTCTCCCCCTAAAAAAATGGTACAGCAACGACGACGACGACTCTTAACCTCGTTTCAAAGTATTTGTCTTCAAATTTTTTTTGTATAAAAAAAAAAAAAAAAAAAAAAGACGAAAAAAGAAAAATTTGCCCTTTCTTCCGCGTCCAAAACAAAAAAATAAAAAATATATACAAGTACGGCAAAGTATATAAAAAAAGTGTCGAGACAAATTATGGATGATTATTTTGTGAACAATTTTACTCGCGGATAAATCTCAAGTACGGTAGCAGCGGTATATGGCAAGGATTTTTTTTTTTCGCAGAGAGAATGGATGCGAATGCACTCAGAATCATTTTGAAACTCTCATTTGTAATTCTCATTTTTTTCCCCTCGATTTCGTCACATTTTCCCATGGGCAGAGAACAGCTCTTTATACTTTATCCTCGAAGAATCAGCTTAATAATATATACGAGCCGAGCAATTTGTCCATTAGCGAGGTAATTTTGCATTAGCGCATTTCAAAAATTTACACAACGCAAACGATCCGTTTTGCAGCGCAGCAGCTCAGCTAAAAGGATCGCGTAACAACAGAGAGATCGAAATGAGCATCAAAGCCCTTCACAACGTTGAGAGAGAGAGAAAATCTTTGACACGTTAAATAGCTGAGCTGCTCTTATGTGCCACCAAAATACACGAGGAATTTCAAAATATATAACACCCCTGAGCTTCGCTCTCCTGTGCCGCCCCCCGTGTGTACACTGTACTCGAAAGGTTGAGAGCGCTACACCGTTATTTGCAGGAGGGAGTAACGCGCTCGGATAATAATCGAGCCTTATCTTGCACCAGCACTACAAGAGATAGAGGCGCGCGCGCATTTCTTACGGTATAACGAGAGCAGCATGAGTAGCAGTATGCAGCAACGGCAACAGCAGCAGCACCGAAACGATCATTACTCGTCGTCGCAAGCAGGTACCACCTGCACAACTTCCAGAGTATAAGTGAGAGCCGAGCCGAGAGAGAACAACATGCGCAAATTTCCACGCAGCTTGTGCGCCTCTTATACTTAAAGTAGTACGCGTACTTATACGTATATATGGGTGTGCAACACAGTGCTTATGAAGTCTCACGCTCAAACGCGCATTCACTCACGGATTCATCTAATTAATAAGCATCTGTCATCTTGGGTCTCGCGGCAACGGCAACGGCGCACGAGACGACGACGACGCAGACGACTTACGATAATAATTTAACTTCTAACGTGGCACGTACACACACACACACACCCGCGTGATAACTTTCGCCGGTCTTTCGATATCTCTGTGAAGCAGCAGTAGCAGTAGCAGCGGCAGATGTGCGTCGTTGTCGTCATTAGTAGCAAAACCATATTTTCCATCCGAGCGGAATGCGATCCTCTCACGCAGGCGGTAATGAGATGGTCACAAATTAAAGACAAATTAATTTTTCTGATTGCGCACTGGAAAATTTTCAAAATAAAAATAACAATAAAAAAAGTAACGATATCGTTGTTCGAACAGCGCCGATCGCGCGCGCGAAATTCGAGCTACCACCCGGGCGGACTTCTTTGAGGATAAGGGGATGTATATACCCCGAGACCACCGCACCACGCGGGCACAACGTCGCGCCAGCCACTGAACTGAAGCGCTATTCGCGAACTTTGGCTTTCCA